CTATTATTCCTTTTAAGTTCAGAAGGTCTTCCTTTCCTAGAGATCAAAAGATTTAATTCTATTTTCTCCTTCTTTAGGATTAGAGTTTTTACATGCATGAGTACAATGGTTAAGAATGCTGCCTGTGTATGTTTGGTTACTGGCTCCAATGTTTAGTAACCACATGGCCTTGATTAACCTCTTTGAACTTTAGCTTCCTCATCTGTAAATTGGGGATAATAATAGCACCTCTCACACAAGAGGTTGCTATGAGTCAGAATTGACTCTAGGAAGCTAGTTGGTTATCACAAAATAGTGTTGTAAAGATTAAATACAACAATGTCTATTATTTTTAAAATAGTACCTATGAATTTCTATAAATGATAGTTATTATAAATATTATAATGTATTCAGAATGAGATGAAACTTTAACATGCTTTTTTACCCCTAAATGGCTAAATAGCACTATTGATTGATGAATTTTTCCATTCCTCATTATATTCAAAGTGATTTCAGGCTATAATGCATTCTTGTATACTCCAATGCCTGTTTCTGGTTTTTCCTTCTGATTTGTCAGTACACTCATGTGTTTGTAAGGAGTTCTGGTGGCATAGTGCCTAAGGCATCTGACTGCTAACCAGAAGGTTGGTGGTTCAGACCCATCAGCCACTCTATGGAAGCAAAACTGGGCAATCTACTTCCATAAAAATTTATTGCCTTGGAAACCCAATAGGAGTGGCTATGAATAGGAATTGACTCGATGGCAGTGGATTTTGTTTTGGTGGGTTCACATGTCTGTACCACATTGTTTTAAATATTACAGCTTTACAAGATGAAAAAAAATCCTATAGCTGCAGGACATATTGTTCTTTTTAAAAAAAAGTCATAATTGGTTTCTCATTTCTTCTCCCCATATAGATGTTTTGTTGTGTTGGTGTTGTTTTCATGTGCTGTCGAGTTGGACCCGACTCATAGAGAACCCTCCTTGGGTTTCCGAGGCAGTATCACTACAGAAGTAGATTGCCCCATCTTCCTTCCGAGGAGTGGCTGGTGGGTTTGAACAGCCAGTCTTCTGGTTAGCAGTCAAGTGCCTTAGGCACTACGCTACCAGAGCTCCCATAGGGATCTTAGAGTCATGTTATAATTAAAAAGATATTGTAAATGAGAATTTAACTCTGGTGGCATAGTGCCTAAGGATCGATTAGAAAGCAATGAGTTTTTGGTTTTGTAAATGAGAATACATAGTTACAGCTTCAAATACATAGCTTGACAAATATGAAGAAACTTTTACTTGTATTAGCAATGTAATAGATGCAATTTAAAACTTTAACTTTTAGATAATATGCTACTTTGGATAACAGGAGAGATGATGACACTGGGATGCTGAGAATGGGAACATCAGACTAAGAGTTTATTAGTGAATTGAATCCAGATCATAGATTTTTAGTAATTTTTTTTTTTTTTTTTTTATGAAAATGGCACTAAAGTCTACTATTTAGTGAGGCAGAAATGATAGAGTGGCCACCTACATATGTAAGTGTTTTCACACATGGACCTTAACATTTAGTATGACACAAAAATAACATATATATGCAAAAGACAAAACCCCACCAAACTCACTACCGTCGAATCCATTCCGACTCATAGCGACCTCTCCTCGGGTTTCAGAGGCAGTATCTCTACAGAAGTAGATTGACCAATCTTCCTCCTGAGGAGCGGCTGGTGGGTTTGAATCTCCAGGCTTCTGGTTAGCAGTCAAATGCCTTAGGGACTCCTAAGAACAACTACTGAAAATCCTATTAATCACCCACTCACTACCATAGAGTTCATTCTAAATCGTAGAGACCCCCATTGAGTTATCAAGGCTGTAAATCTTTATAGAAGTAGATTGCCTCATCTTCCTCCCATGGTACAGCTGGTAGGTTTGATCCTCTGACCTCATGGTTAGTAGCCAAATACCTTATCCACCACGCCACATACACAACTAAACTCACTGTCTTCGAGTCAGATCCGACTCATAGTGACTCCTCCTTGGGTTTCTGAGGCAGTACCACTATGGCAGTAGATTACCCCTACTATGCCACATGGGCCATTGCAGTGTAGTAAATTACTTAGTATGGCTTTTCTACCCATAAGTAAACTCAGTGGTGGAATGAGCAACTGAGGAGCTCCTGATTGTAAATGTTATCCACCTGGGTTATTTCTATTGGGCATAGCACAATGCAATGTTATGGGAGGTTCACTCTCAGGTGCTTAGAATTCTGTGGTTATGATTGGTTGGTTTGGCCACTCTGCCAAGCTCAAAAGGAGGCTTCCTAGAGGCAGAACTCTCTCTGACTGCTGGTTTAGGAAGACATGCTGCTGAAAGAGACATGCACTACTGAAAGAGACACATGCTGCTGGGAAAGAGATGCAAGAGACACGCGTTGCTGAGTAAGACACCGAGGGACATGCCCTGCTGGGGGAGAGACTGTGAGAGACTTGGCTGAGAGATGGTGGGCTGAGAGAGAGACTGAGTGTTTTTCCTGAACTTGAATTGTAGCCTGGTGCTTCCCTAATAATCCCCATAATCTGTGAGTTCTGTGTGGCCACTGCAGTGAATTATCGAACCCAGGAGAGAGGTGGTGGGTGCTTTGGGAGGAACGGTTGGAGAAAGGGCTGGAGGGAGGCAGCATGTCTGGCCTTGCAGGAAAGGCCTTGGGCTATTGATGGTGATTCTGTCTTCCTCTTGTGGGATTAGAGGAGGTCAGAACATGTGGCCTCCTTGCCCTTTTTGTAGCCATAGAATTATTTCTGATTTTTTTATTTATTGTCATGTTAAAATGTGTTTAGTATTGCAGTGTTAACATTTTTGTTATCAGCATTACTGCATTTTAAACTACTAATGGAATTATTTTTTGTTTTAATTACAGCAATATATTTATTTTTAATAATACTATTAAACTTTTTGTTTATTTTATGATTTGCAGTTACTATAGAAATACATTTATAACAAGGATAACATTATATTTTTCAACTAACAATGGAATGAGTATTTTTAGGTCTCAGTAACAATTTTATCTCCTATATTAATTATAGGCACTCTGGTAGCGTAGTGCTTAAGGCACTTGACTGCTAACCAGAAGGCTGGTGGTTCAAAGCCACCAGTCACTCTTCGGAAGGAAGGCTGGGCAATCTACTTCCATAGTGATACTGCCTCAGAAACCCAAAGAAGGGTCGCTATGAGTCGCGTCCGACTCTATGGCAAATAACAACATAAAAAACAACATATTAATTATAAACGATAAATAACAGAATATCTGTGAATACTTAAAAGATTCTGTTAAAAAATGGACCTTTTATTTCTATGATGATGGGACTTAGGGACCTTGATAGTGATTGGCAGGATGAGAGAAAGAAAAAATTGAGACATCTTCTAAATCATACATAAGCCAATTAAATGCCAGTTGTGTAAAATTGTATCCAATATAAAAGAGCATCATAGAATGTATTATACAGTTCTTAACCTCATTCTTTGTACATAGGGTCGCTATGAGTCAGAGCAATTTGATAGCACCTAACAACAAGTTGTTGAGTTGGAGAAGGATGCTAAGAGTACCATGGACTGCTAAACCAAAAAAAAAAAAAAACTAAACTCAATGCCCTCAAGTCATTCGACTCATAGCAACCCCTCCTTGGGTTTCCAAGGTGGTATCTCTACAGAAGTAGATTGCCAAATCTTCCTTCTGAGGAGTGGCTGGTGGGTGTGAACCACCAGCCTTCTGGGTAGCAGTCAAATGCCTTTGGCACTATGCCATCAGAGTTCCTATGGACTTCTAAAAGGACTGACAAATCTGTCCTGGAAGAAGTGCAACTGGAATGCACCTTGGAAGTGAGAATGGCCAGACTTCATTGCACCTACTTTGGTCATGTTGTCAGAAGGAACCATTCCCTGGAGAAGGATATCATGCTTGGTAAAGAGGAGGGTCAATGAAAAAGGGGCAGGCCCTCAATAAGATGGATTGACACAGTGGCTGCAACAATGGGTTCAGTTATTGCAGGGATGGAGAGGCTGGGACAAGCCTGGACAGTGTTTTGTTCTGCTGTGCATAGGGTTGCTATGAGTCAGAGATGACTTGACGGCACCTAACAACAACAACAATAACAACCTCATTCTTTATAGTTCCTGCTGTGAAAATTATAACATAAAGAAAACACCATCATGAAACTTAGAAGGACTTTTTTTTTTTTCTTTCTTTCTTCATTCTTCTTTGCTCTGGACGAGGAGAGACCCATCATTGCATCTAGATGGGGGCTGCAAGCTTTTAAGATCCCAGTCACTACTCGCCAAAGTAGGAGGTGGAACAATGTTTTGTGTAGTATGTTATGCCAATTGAGCCGTTGTCGCCTGAGAGTATGGTCCTGAGCCCAGCAGTTCAACTACTCGGTCCCTCTGGGTAAGTGGCTGTGAAGAAGGACTTCTTTAGAAGAAATCTGTTTGAGGAAATTTTTGCAAAGACTTGGGGATACTTGATGGAATTTTCTGATTTGGGTCAAGGGAAGCTTCTGTTGGTGCCCTCTTCTTAAAAATCATGAAACATTTCAGGCATTCAAAAAAGTGTAGAGAGGAACGTAACAGTATCATGTACTCAACACTCAGCAAGTTATCAACCACTGCTAATATTGTTAAAAGGTATCTATTTTCTAATAATAAACTTGCCAGTTGAAAATACAGGAATTACATGTCCTTTGATCTCAGTTGTGCAATTTATTTCATCTAATATGTTAATTTCCCCCTCTGTTGCCATAAGGCTGCCAAATGGCTATTAATTGGCAAAATCTTTGAAGTGCAAATTGCCTGACTCAAGATGACTAATTCTCAGCAAATGTGTAAATCAATTTTAAACAATAGAGGCAAACTCACTAATGTTTTAATTCACTTGAAACTAACATCTGTCCTGGGCACCAACTCTCAAGGCTCCTTTTGAAGAAAGCAAATTTTTCTAAACCCAACAAAAGAATAAATAAAAGAACCACATTACCTGTCGACGCTAAGAGCACAGAGATTGAGGACAGTGATCCCCACTGAGGACTTCTGCAAAAAGGGGAACAGCTTGCAGAGAAATACGCCAAAGTCATTGTGGTCGAAAGGCCAGTGCCCAGCCAGCAGCTGGAAAAAAGGAGACACAGTGGTCAGAAATGGCGGTGCTGGCATGGGATACATGGACACTTTATTTCCAGTCACACTTCTAAACGTCTATGTTTTATTCTTCTGTATACTTTCCTGTACCAAACAGTGTTTCTTTGCTATTCATAAGGTTTTCAGTACATTAGACGACGTGTAGCATTGGGAAAGTCAACTGCGAAGGAACTGTTTCAAGTGCTGAGGAGCAAGGATATCTCATTGAAGACTAAGGTGCTCCTGACACAAGCCATGATATTTCCAATCGCCTGGTATGCATGTGAGAGCTGGACAATGAATAGGGAAGACCGAAGAAAAGTTGATGCTTTTGAGTTGTGGTGCTGGCGGAGAATGCTGAAAGTACCATGGACTGCTAAAAGAACTAACAGATCTGTCCTGGAGGAAGTGCGGCCAGAATGCTCCTTGGAAGCAAGAATGGCCAGACTTCGTCTCACCTATTTTGGTCATGTTGTAAGAAGGGACCATTCCCTGGAGAAGGATGTCATGCTTGGTAGGGTGGAGGGTCGACGAAAGAGGGGGAGGCCTTCAACGGGATGGATTGATACTGTGGTTGCGATGATGGGCTCAAGTATAGCAGGGATTGTGGGGCTGAGGCGGGATCGGGCAGTGTTTCGTTCTGCTGTGCATGGGGTCGCTATGAGTCGGAAACGACTCGACGGCACTTAACAACAACAACAACAAATACTTTCCTGTTATTGGGGTAGAAATGGAGTATAATTGTATTTTTCATAATTTAAAGCCTCAACAATTCCTTGGTCTGGAAATATATTGTAAATTACAAATATAATAACTTTACAAAGAGTAGCAAAAGTTTTGAGTTTTGGGTGACAGCTTAACCAAGAAGCAGTCAGTCATCTTTTAACAATTCTTAATAAACCATGAATAAAGCCAACTCATTTTCAACTAGTGGCACTGGAAAATTATATTATCTTCTGAAGCAACTATAAATGACAGGTTATGGACAATATTGGAAAAATGAAGTGGTTTAGGGTGTATTGATTTTGCCAGTTGGTTAACCTGAACTACCTTTTACTTTGTGCTTAGTGGTTGACTATAGTTCAGCAGATGTTGTATGAGTTACATTTATATAGGCCCAAATTTCATACAGAAAAAAGGGGTTACCATTACCTATTTGTTGCATTTGCAGAAAAATCTATTCTTCAATGATGCCAACTTAAAAATCTTTGTTCAAAGGAAAAGGTGAATACTCTTTAGTAGCTGTGGTAAGTAGCAAGAACATACCAAAAACCAAACCAGACTCACTGCCTTCAAGTCGATTTGACTCATAGCGACCTCTCCTTGGGTTTCCAAGGTGGTATCACTATGGAAGCAGATTGCCCCATCTTCCTTCTGAGGAGTGGCTGGTAGGTTTGAACTGCCAGCCTTCTGGGTAGCAGTCAAACACCTTAGGCACTACCTCACCAGAGCTCCTAGCAAGAACATAGTAACTACTAACATAGCTACTAACAGAACTGTAGCAACTACAATTCCTGGTGAGTTTCTGATATTTATCTAATTAGGTATACTGAGCATGGGCTTCAATAATAGCTCATCTGCCTAAAAGGGTGAGGGCAGTCCATGGTGAACACATGATTGCTTTCCAATAGTTAAGGGAGTATTGATTTCTTTTTTATTTTTTGCTTAGTGCTTTAGTTACTAAAGAATTTAGTTACTAAACTCAATAAGAAACACTATACTACTACTACATTGACCTCTTGTTGTTAGGTGCTGCTGAGTCATCTCTGACTCATAGCAACCCTACACACAACAGAATGAAACACCACCTGGTCCTGTGCCAGCCTCACAATCCTTGCTATACTTGAGCCCATTGTTGCAGCCACTGTGTCAATCCACCTCACTGAGGGTGGATTGATTTAGAGGTGCCTTATTTATTTTTTTAATTTGTATAGTATCATTTTCCATAATAACTCTAAGTTTAAATTTGAATTCTTGTTTTACTATTTCTAAAAGATTACGTGAAGTTTTATGTGAGAATTTATATTTCTAACAAGTTTCATAATCATTATGATTATTAACATAAGTCTATTGAAAGAGTACTTCATAGAACAAAATCAGAACTTACACATTTTGAGAATTCACTAGCATGGGATTTTCTAAAATTTTATTTTCGTGGTGAAGAATGTATACAACTTAGTGTCAGAAGTTCTTTCTTTCTAGTTTCCAAACATATTTTCCCTTTTTTTGGAGTAGTTTTCTAAAAGGACTTTTTCTTCAATCCAAACCTGTCTCTGTTCTCTTCTTTGGTTCACTATAACCAGTCTTGGATGGTGTCTTCTCAGAATTTCCACATAAACTTTTGTCTAAGGACAACCTCAAGGCTGTTCACAGAAACAATGCACTAAGTTTTGACAGTTTCTGTGAAACTAAGAAATAATTTTCCCATTGCTGAGTACTGGTTATTAATGCTTTATGAAAGTAAAGACATAAAACACTAAATATGGGATAAATCACCCTCAATAAGGAAAGGAAAGCTTTAAAACTGCTTTTCTTTATACAATGAGAATTAGGTATTTGTAGTTCTCCATTAAAGACCAGACATGCATTTAAAATGTGTAGAGATTGCTATGGCATAGGCTTTGGAATAATTGAATTGTTGCTGTTGGCTTACTCTCAGAGACAGAGCGTTTTGAAATCCATGCAGATGGGTTTCCCAATTCACACATCCAACGAGGAGAAGAAAACAAAGGCTGTTTCTTGCTTAATAAATCTGATATCCTGTGAAGATCTAAGTGACAAGTGCTATGAAGATGATCCAGAAAAAAACTGCAAGTGGGCATGTATAATTTCAGCCTCTTCCAATTGTAAGTGAATTTTTTCCTTTTTTCAAAGTTCCTTAAATTTTAGGTGTAAAGGAAGGGAAGAAAGGAAAGACTTCATTGAAGAGGTGGGCAAGAAAAAGATCATTCAGTGTCTTTCTTTGGCAATAATATGTCTTTTCTTGTTATTATTTTTTTCCCCGGGGGGGGGGTGAACCCAGTGTCATCAAGTCAGATTCGACTCAAAGCGACCCCTCCTTGGGTTTCCAAGGCGGTATCATTACGGAAGTAGATTGCCCAATCTTCCTTTCCCCAGGAGTGAACATTTATTCTTCTTGGGAATTAGGTAAAGAGAATGAAATAAATCATTGGAGGAAATCTATAGGTGTAATCACTGTGTATACTGCCTTTACCTACATATACTTCATCCTGAGAAAACATGTAAATGTTAACCATCCCAGTTTCCAGGGGGAAATTAGATCTCTGCCTTTGTTGTTGTTGTTAGGTGCCATCCAGTTGGTTCTGACTCACAGCAACCCTACATACAACAAAACAAAAAGGTACAGGGTCTTGCGCCATCCTCATAATTGTTGCCATACTTGAGCCCATCATGACAAGCACTGTCAGACCATCTCATTTAGGGTCTTTCCTTTTCTGCTGACCATCTACTTTTCCCAGCATGATATCTTTCTCCAGGGACTGATCACTTCTGACGATATATCCAAAGAATGAGAGACAAAGTTTGCCCATTCTGGCTTCAAGGAGCATTCCAGCTGTATATCCTTCAAAACAAATTTCTTTGTTATTGCAGCAGTCCGTGGTACATTCAATATTTTTCACTAACACCACAATTCAAATCCATTAATTCTGCAATCTTCCTTATTCATTGCTCAGCTCTCACATGCATATGAGACTATTGAAAATACCATGGCTTGGGTCAGGTGTACTTCAGTCTTCAAAGTTACATCTTTGCTCTTAAACATTATGAAGAAGTCTTTTGCAACAGATTTACCCAATGTAATACAATGTCTGATTTCTTGACTGCTGCTTTCATGGGTGTCGACTGTGGGTCTAAGTAAAATGAAATCCTTAACAGCTTCATTTTTTTTTTCTCCATTTATTGTGATGATGCCTATTGGGCCAATTGTGAGAATTTTAGTTTTCTTTATGTTGAGGTATAATCCACACTGAAGGCTGTAGTCTTTGATCTTTATCAGTAAGTACTTCAAGTCATCTTCACTTTCAGCAAGCAAGGTCATATTTGCTTATTGGAGGTTGTTAATGAGTCTTCCTCTAATCCTGATTCTGTCTTCTTTATATAGTCCAGTGCTTTGGATTATTTGCTCAGCATATAGATCGAATAAGTATGGTAAAAGCATAGAGCTTTGACACACACCTTTCTTGATTTCAAACCATGCAGTATTCCCTTGTTCTGTTCAAATGACTGTCTGTTGGTCTATGTACAGGTTCCTCATGAGCATGCTTAAGTGTTCTGGAATTCCCATTCTTTGCAATGGTATCCATAGTTTGTTATGAAACATACATAGTTGAATGCCTTTGTATAATCAATAAAACACAGGTAAACAACTTTCTAGTATTCTTTGCTTTCAGCCAAGATCCATCTGACATCAGCAATGATAGCCTTCATTCCATATCCTCTTGTGAATCTGGCTTGAATTCTGTCCATTCCCTGTGGACTGCAACTGTTTTTGAATTATCTTCAGCAAAATTTTACTTATGTGTGTGGTGTTAATAATATGGCTTGATAATTTTCATATTCTGTTGGATATCCTTTTGTTACAATGGGTATGAATATGGATCTCTTCTAGTTAGTTGGTCAGGAAGCCATCTTCAAAATTTCTTGGTAGGTACGAGTTAATGCCTCTAGACTGCATCTGTTTGTTGAAACAGCTCAATGGTGTTCTGTCAATTTTTGGAGCCTTGTTTTTCACCAGTTCTTTCAGTGCAGCTTGGACTTTTTCCTTCAGTATCACTGGTTCTTTATCATATGCTACCTCCTGAAATGGTTGAGCATCAACCAATTCATTTTGGCATAGTGACTCTGTGTATTCTTTCAATTTCTTTTGATGCTTCTTGCATTGTTCAATATTTTGCCCACAGGATCTTCCAGTATTGCAAGGCTTGAATTTTTTCTTCACTTCTTTTAGCTTGAGAAATCCTGAGTGTGCT